ATGTGTGGCCTGGTAGAGGCTAATGCAGTCAAACAAAAGAATGAAAATGTAACTTCAATCATCTGCACTCACACTCAACGCTTATCAGAAATAACAATGAGGCGAGGTGGGCTTGGTAAGTTTAATGTTTTAAAAAACATGAGAATCCACGGGTGGGTGGGTGGGAGAAAATTCAGATGAACTCGAGTAGGTGAGCTCCCACTGCCCGCTACGCTACATGTGATGACAATAGACAGATGACCTCTGGGTCAAGTGAGGTCAGGGGTCGTATTCCGTGCATCTAATTAATTTCTTTGATCTGTCGCCCAAATAACTACAATTATCTGCACTCACACTCAACGCTTATCAGAAATAACAATGAGGCGAGGTGGGCTTGGTAAGTTTAATGTTTTAAAAAACATGAGAATCCACCAAGACCAAGCCCGGAGGGAAGGAGAGAGGCGATGAGGGGGAGAGTGCAGTAACTGTAGTAGAGGGGCGTAGCTAGTAAAATACTACTGGGACTGTACGAAAGTGATACAAAAGTGATACAAAAGCGATACAGAAGTCATACAAAAGTGATACAAAATACAAAAATGATACAAAATTGATACAAAAGTCGGGAAAGCGAGTCCTGTGAGGTTTGTAGGCTGGAAGCGGTGCCCAGGTCTCCTGGCGCAGGTGGCACGGGGAGATGCTGGTCTGACAGTCAATGTACTCAGTCAGTAGGGGCGTGTGAGGACGCGATGTTAGGAAACATGTGAAACGCGAACCAGAGTCGGAGCAAGAATAACGCGGAAACGGCGGTTGAGCCGGGCTGGCGCGAGTTCGGCGGTGGAGCCGAGGTGACACGAACCGGGCGGTTGAGCCAAGATGATACTAAGCCTTCGTCTGGACCGGCTGGTACGAGGTTGGCGGTTGAACCGAGATCCCAGAGATGACACGAGGTTGGCGGTTGAGCCGAGATGACACAGTTTTGGCGTTGGAGCCGAGATGACACGAGTTTGGCGTTGGAGCCGAGATGACACAAGTTTGGCAGTTGAGCCGAGACGACACGCGTTTGGCGGTTGAGCCGAGGACGCGAGTTGGGCAGTTGAGCCGAGATGGCACAGTTTTGGCGTTTGAGCCGAGATGACGCAGTTTTTGGCGTTTGAGCCGAGATGACACAGTTTTGGCGTTTGAGCCGAGATGACACAGTTTTGGCGTTTGAGCCGAGATGACAAGCGTTTGGCGGTTGGGCCGAGATGACACAGTTTTGGTGTTTGAGCCGAGATGACACAGTTTTGGCGTTCACGGCGGTCGGTTGCTAGGCTAAAAGTCGCATTACTAGGGAGGTATCGGGTTACAGAACGTGTTCGAACGTGGCCGCGCGGGAGTCCCGGGCCGGCCCGGGGGCAACGGGTAAAATTTGAAAATAAACAAAAGTAATTGGAGAGTAAATACTCGTCAAAATAAAATGTAATAGGTGATTTTGTTTACCTCAAATGTTATTCTTGCACTGCCTTTGCTCCACTTTGTGTACATTTGCTTCCAAATGAGATCAATTTCGGATTTCAAAAAGGGTTCACGAGAACCAAACAACTGATTTTAAGAGGCCCCGAAAATGAAAAATAAGGTTAGATTTTTGGATTTTTAGAACTATTACAGTAAATTTAAACTTTCTGTCTTAGGATTTTTTTATTTTTTAACTAAAACTCGACTTACAGTACTAGTCAAAAGAAGAGCTAAAAACGCAGTGTTTTAACTTTAAATACCGATAATTCATAATCGCGGCCATGTTTAAAAAATCCCTAAGACAGAAATCTGCGGAAATCGTTCCTCTTCCAAACAAGCCCTCAATGGGGTAATTTGAGTGATTTTTGGGAATGGTTAAAATACCATGTTTGCACGCATGCTGTGCCACTTGGATATGGGGACCTGGATTTTATAACAGGGTCAACAAGAATTCTGACCTTCAAGGTCACCCACGATGACGGCAGTAGCTTCGTTACATGTTACATATCCACAATAAAATCACGGCATAGATGTAATGTTTTGAAAACGGTTCATATTTGTGGAAAGGTGGATTTTTCCTGTTCCGTGGTTTCCAAGTAAAAAAGGGCTTGAAGTAGCCGGTTGTAGCGGCTTTACTGTAAATGACCGCGGGTAACCCCAGATCGAACGCCCGCTCTATTCGAATGACGTCATATCGAACAAGATTCGCGGGTTCGGGGGATTCGATCTCCATAGTAGCGGAGTGGGACTTTTGGGCCCAAATCTGACCATCGTGGTTTGAGATGACAGGTTTGGTGTTTGAGCCGAGATGACACAGTTTTGGCGTTTGAGCCGAGATGACACAGTTTTTGTGTTGGAGCCGAGATGACACAGTTTTGGCGTTTGAGCCGAGATGACACAGTTTTGGCGTATGAGCCGAGAGGACACAGTTTTGGCGTTTGAGCCGAGAGGACACAGTTTTGGCGTTTGAGCCGAGAGGACACAGTTTTGGCGTTTGAGCCGAGATGACACAGTTTTGGCGTTTGAGCCGAGATGACACAGTTTTGGCGTTTGAGCCGAGATGACACAGTTTTGGCGTTTGAGCCGAGATGACAAGCGGTTGGCGGTTGGGCCGAGTTTGGCGGTTGGGCCGAGACGACGCGAGTTTGGCAGTTGAGCCGAGATGACACAGTTTTTGGCGTTTGAGCCGAGATGACACAGTTTTGGCGTTTGAGCCGAGATGACACAGTTTTGGCGTTTGAGATGACAGTTTTGGCGTTTGAGCCGGGATGACACAGTTTTGGTGTTTGAGCCGAGATGACGCGAGTTTGGCAGTTGAGCCGAGATGACACGAGGTTGGCAGTTGAGCCGAGAGGACACAAGTTTAGCGTTTAAGCCGAGACGACACGAGTTTGGCGTTTGAGCCGAGATGACACGAGTTTGGCGTTTGAGCCGAGATGACACGAGTTTGGCAGTTGAGCCGAGAGGACACGAGTTCGGCAGTCGAGCCGAGATGACACAAGTTCGGCAGTCGAACCGAGATGGAAGTTTGAGCCGAGATGACACAAGGTCGGCGTAGGAACCGAGACGACACGAGTTTGGCAGTTGAGCCGAGATGAAACAGTTTTGGCGCTTGAGCCGAGATAACACGAGTTTTGCGTTTGAAATCAAACCGAGACGACACGAGATTGGCGTTGGAGCCGAGATGACACGAGTCTGGCAGTCGAACCGAGATGACACAGTTTTGGCGTTTGAGCCGAGATGACGCGAGTTTGGCAGTGGAGCCGAGGTGACACGAGGTTGGCAGTTGAGCCGAGGTGACACGAGTTTGGCAGTTGAGCCGAGAAGGCACGAGTTTGGCGGTTGAGCCGAGATGACACGAGTTGGGCAGTCGAGCCGAGAGGACAGAGTTTGGACGTTTGAGCCGAGATGACACAAGGTCGGCGGTGGAGCCGAGACGACACGAGTTTGGCAGTTGAGCCGAGATGTCACGAGTTTGGCAGTTGAGCCAAGATGACGCGAGTTTGGTAGGTGCGCAGAGATGACACGAGTTTGGCAGTTGAGCCGAGAAGACACGAGTTTTTTGGCAGTTGAGCCGAGATGACGCGAGTTTGGTAGTTGCGCAGAGATGACACGAGTTTGGCAGTTGAGCCGAGAAGGCACGAGTTTGGCGGTTGAGCCGAATTACACGAAGCTGGCACACCGGACCAGGCTGACACGAGGGTGGCGTAGGAGCCGGATTACACGAAGCTGGCACGCTGGACCAGGCTGACACGAGGGTGGCGTAGGAGCCGAATTACACGAAGCTGGCACACCGGACCAGGCTGACACGAGGGTGGCGTAGGAGCCGAATTACACGAAGCTGGCACGCTGGACCAGGCTGACACGAGGGTGGCGTAGGAGCCGAATTACACAAAGCTGGCACACCGGACCAGGCTGACACGAGGGTGGCGTAGGAGCCGAAGCACGAAGCTGGCATGCTGTGCCGGGCGGACACGAGGGCAGTGTTTGAGTGGGATACTAGAACAGAGCCGGAAGAACGCGAAAGTCACTTAGACAAGCACGTAAACAGAAAGTCACGTAAACAAGCGGCAGGAAGCATCAAACCGTTGCCAGGGCGACCGCCCGTCTGGCTGCCTGCCTTGCTCTGAAGCGGAACGCTAACGAGGAACAGGGCTACAACTGATCACGCTCTCCGCGCGTGATCGAGCCGGGACGCGTGGGTGGTCCGCCGGCGTGGTGCGACATCTGGACATATGGCGAGGGGGATAATTTGTTTGTAGCAGAGTGCACCAAACTTGATCGAACTATTGAAACCTATTCATTTCGTGTGGCATAATCCGTTGCGACATTACCAACTCGCAGTGTACCAGTAATCGTGTCCACATAGACGAAGTCGAAATATAACGGACTCGGTCGGCGCGGTGAAGTCATAGAGTTACAAATCGTGCGAGATGAAGTGTTAAACGGATCCGTACTCACGTTGACTGCGCGTCAAAATAACTGGGTCGAACCCGAAGCGAAAGTTACTCACTGCCCGGATCCGCTTTTGTGTCCCCGATATAAAGCTGAGGCAGGCTTATTGCAGGAGCGATCCGCCACGTGAAGACCTGACGGCGGGCCGTGGCGCGGGGCGAACTCCCTCCTGGAGACGGGTAATCCAGTCCCCCATGCGGTGGAAAAGAGGCTCCTTCAGAAGGACTGCATGGTAGAACTAGTCAGATCGTAGGAATCACGGACTGGACGACAGTAGCGCGGTAGAAAGCTCAGAAAATTCAGATGAACTCGAGTAGGTGAGCTCCCACTGCCCGCTACGCTACATGTGATGACAATAGACAGATGACCTCTGGGTCAAGTGAGGTCAGGGGTCGTATTCCGTGCATCTAATTGATTTCTTTGATCTGTCGCCCAAATAACTACAATTAACATATCATCTTTACACCAAATCCCATTTTGAAATGCACTAGTCACCTTGTCCTTCCCGCCCATGTAGAAATAATTACCAACTCATTAACTTTCCTTAACCCATTAACTAACTACGTGACGTCACGGCCCCATGGGTGGCACTCATCATCATCATCATCATGGCGTCGGTAGGAAATTTGGAAGACGCGGCGAGGAAAAGAAAAGAACGTCTGGCCGCGCTCAAGAAGAGAGCTCAGGACAGCAAAGTTGTAAGTAGGAAGAACACAGTTCTGTGATTGTAGAGCGGAGCTTGTAGTGTGTTCGACTTTGACATAATGCCATGCGGAATTGTTTTGTTTCGAAGGTGGGAGGGGGGCACACCGTCGTGTTGCTAGATGAAACCTGCTAGATACATTTCCTATGAATAAAAGTGAAATGAAATTATATTTCCCGCGAGTACAAATTCTGAAAGTCTCTATTCAATATTTCTATGCAATGAGCTATCGTACCATGTGAGTTTTCGGGTAGTAATACTTAGTTATGCCCGATAAAATTAAGTCGTTCACATCGCAAAGTGCTTCAAATCGCAAAGTGCTTCAAAATATTTATATCAGAGTTATCAACCAAGAATTGAGGTATTCAAAAACTCGTATTTCCCTAGAACTATCGTAGAGTGGAACTCGTTGCCACCAAGCACAGTTGGGGCATCATCACTAGACAGCTTTAAACAACTCCTGCAATCAAATGTGCAAAGATTGAGTGTAACAAGCCGTTCGGTGTGATATAGCTAGCTGCCGCCGCGCCGCGTGCCTGCGAAGCTGGTGTGTTACGTCGAAGGGCGGTTATACCGGCTATACCGATACAGAAACTCCTTGGCATAAAATAGAAAGATTTGAACTTACTAGTAGGGTCATAATCTCTCATGTGTGTTTTATTTTTTCCTGTTCCTCATTTTTTGCAGACTGGTGGGAATGAGGACGAACCTCCAACTAAAATAGCAGCCAAGTGAGTGACTATCACCAGTAATATGTTATAATGATAACAGATAAGTTATATTACTTACTACTATGTATCTTCAAATAATTTGCATGTACATACATACTGTAAACAAAAACGCTTGTACTGTATGAACTTTGCAATAGCTCGGGGCAAGTGTCATATTTAATTTCTGTTCCTTACTTGGTGTCTCTGACAACTACAGTGTACTATGGTTTTGATTGCATTTTTGTAAAATGTAGTCACTATGTGTGACAACGGATTTATTGCTGTGTTTGTTGTACTATAGGGAGCCAAAGTTCCGCAGCTACCAGCCTGAGGATGACCAGCTGAAGGACAAAGCTGTAGAAGCTGCTAAACCTGTCCAAGGTCTGTACACTTTCAACACCCAGAGACATGTTTATAGGCATTTTGAATTTTATATATATTGAGTTTATTGACTTCGTTCACATTTCAGTAAAATACATGGCAGCTTCATTTGTGTACAAAAATGCTGAATTGCACATTTTACATGATCAACATTATAACAAATCTATATCTATATTACAAGATCAACATGATAACAAATTTAAAAAAAAAACTAGTTAACAATGACATTATGATGATAACATTATAAGGAATTGAAAAGGTTCTTAATAAGCTGTAATAATTGATGTAATAATTGACACTTGGATATTTTAACAGGTATATTTGTTTAAGAGGTAAGTGAAGTACGGGATAGGGCTGTTTTTGTAACGGTTTGTTTTTGCCAGAGGGATGCAGAGTTGCTGGGAACTTTTAAGGTTTTTACTTAGGTAGCATGGACTTCCGATCGGGTTGGAGGTAACCAGCCTCTAAATGTGGAGGAACTTAGCAAGGATTTAGCAAACTTTAGACTAAGGGTTTCTCTCCTGTTTTCCAAGGAGGGCAGACATAGGTGAGTTAGGGCTTCATCGTAATGGGTATATTGGGCGCCAAGGATAATTCTAAGGGCATGTTTCTGTATTCTCTCGATCTTCATGGATTGTTGCGTCGTGATGCTGGGGCTCCAAACGGGGGCAGTGTACTCTAATGTGGGGCGTATATAATATTATATTATGTAGTCACAATTTCACACTGGGAAGCAGACGTGTGTTTATCAAGCTGATCAACCTTTTCTAGCACCTGAGTTATAAACATGGTGTACAGTTTTCCAGTATTGACATTGAAAATAGAAGTGTGCTCCTGCAAGTTTTAATTTGTTAAGTTGTATAAGTTGAATAACTAGCAAAGAAAAAAGATAATACTAGTACCTATCTACCGACCCACCTTAATTTTTTCAGGACCAAAACAGAAAACACAATTTTTTTTTTCGAGCTAGGCCTAGATTTCTTAGAAAATGAAATTTTCCTCCCATCTATTCCACAGTTGAGCCTATTGTACAGGAACAACTGGAAGCATCCAAACCAGTTCCCTTGGTGGAGGAAGTGGTGAGTTTGTTTGTTTGTTTGTTTATTGTTTGTCACATCCAAATGATCCAACTTTTTACAATTTTACATTCAGGTCCATTATATTGTTAAGGTGGCAGAACACAGAAACTGTACTGTACCGGTATTTTTTTTCTAGGTTATTCCTTTTGCAAAAGGATAAATTACTTAAAATGGGTGTCAAATTTTCTCAAAATATCTACTCATTGCATCTATGTCATAATTTAGGATTTGGTGAATCTGGCTCCAAGAAAACCTGACTGGTATGTACACTCTCAATATTTCAATTTACAAACAGTTACTGTTGTAACATCTTTTGCTTTTTCTGGTGTTTCTTCTTCTTCTTCTCCTGCCATTTTTTAAATGGATTCAGCTTCTTCATTTTAGGGCCTAAGGTCCTGAAATTTGGTATGAAGGTACAGTGGGCAAATACCCCTAGGCGTTTTTTAAATTTTTGTGATACAGGCTTTTAGAATGGTTTTATTTGAGTTTTTTGGCTGTGTTATAGCAAATGTATTACTGTGTTAGTGTGCCGTGTTTACCACGTCTGGGCATGAGTCATCACAATGGAATGCAGGGCATCAACCAATAGGCATGCAGCTTTCCTCTATTCTTCTTGCTGATTGGCTGTTGGGATTTAACTTGATTAACAGGCTGCACAGAGCATTTCCACCTGCACAGAGCATTTCTTGCTGATTGGCTGTTGGGATTTAACTTGATTAACACCTGCACAGAGCATTTCCATACTGACAGTATGTCTTTATTCAAGTGTTTTGGTAGGTATTTCAAGCTTTTCTGCTCCAGCATTGGAATGCGGGGCATGAACGTTTTTTTTTATTTTGAAAATCAACAGTTTGCATTATGCAATTAAAAATCCTAACCAATAAAGTAGGGAATAGCTATCCAACTGTTGTTTTAGTTGTATGTTACTTCATATTATAGTTATATCAATGTAAATCATTGTTTTCCCTTGTGTTTCTCATTCTTTCCCTGCCATGTGGTGAACCCATTGCTGTATTTGCTCCAAAGCAAATATTGGCCTTTCTAGTTATTTGATTTTTTTCTTCCACTCATTTTGCCAGACTTGGTGTTGTTTAGCTAACCGTTTTTTTTTTTTTTGCAGGGACTTGAAAAGAGATGTTGCCAAGAAACTGGAAAAACTGGAGAAGAGAACACAGAGGGCAATAGCAGAACTAATACGTGAGTAACATTTTTTCTCTCTGTCTTCACTCACTGTCCGGTTTATCGTCTGTTGTTCCCCGTCTTCCGAGGGTTAGACATGCTTGCACTGTACAACTGGGGCTTGATGGCAGCTCACCGCTTGTCTCTGTCCTGTGGCCATGGGTTGATCTTGTTGGCTATGATATCTCACAATTGATGAAAACTTTGATGAGCATTATATTGTAGCTATTAGAAGCTTCCATACAAATATTTACTAAACATACCAGAAATAAGCTGTCAAAAACCACCTACCTGAGTGTTCAACTATGGAAAAGTCACATTGACAGGGTAGTCCAGCCTCCAAATTGTCCATTAAGTAGAAAAAAAGTCTAATTTTTTTATTGGCAAAAACAAGAATGATAAATGTAAACACAACCCTCTGACCCCCTGTACACCACCAAAACACAACATGGCATTACTTTTAGAGTTTCAGGCAGCCAAAACAAGACTAGTGATGCATACCGGTTCACTGGACTTGGATCCGGACTTAAAAAATGTTTAGGTTCAAGTCCAAAAAAACCTAAAAGTCAAGAACCGAGTCCGGACTTATTACCATAAAAGACCATTTCACATACCCCTTTCTTTCCAAACCACCTAAAACCTTCTGTAGATTGCAAAATCTTTGCTGCAAAATGAAGAAAACATTGCCATCGGGTATCGTCAAGTACCGGCCTCCATGTTATGTAGCCAAAGTTTCACCCAGACAACATTGCAAGGTTGCCAACATGCAATTTTGTATATGCCATGAGTTTAGGTCAGGACTTACAAGTCCGGACCTGAACCTAAACCTCTGGACTTGAATCCGGACCTGAACCTGAAATTGGGTTTAGGTATGCATCACTAAACAAGACTACGAGCCAGTTTTTTCAACAAAAAAAAGAAAAATAATAGCATTCAGTTGGAAAATGCCAGCATTTATCCACACATACCGAGAAAACAGCTGTTTTCAGTTGGTTTGGATGCACTCACCAAAGTTACTGAAAAAGGGCCTTCTGAGCTTGCATCAATTAAGTAGTGACTTTGCCCTGCTGTATCAGTTATCGAATAGACTGTTACATGTTATAAAACTAATCATGTCATACCTGGGCTGCGATTACGTTCGATACGTGTGTTCCGGCCCGTGTGATAACTAGCGGTACGGCCGGGGGTTCTTTACGCGTACGGCCCGGGCCTTCCAAATATTCCATAGAACGATTCGAACGCGTTTCGCCCTAACCGCTTGCACCACTTTCAAAATTCGGACGTTGGAATTGATGTTGTTGCATTGTTTGGGTTTAGGGACACCCAATTTTCGCTCATTTTGCATTGAAAGGCGTGTTTTCTTGGGTTGGTATGACATAAATAAAATACAACACGGTGTATTCCGTATCGCCCGAGAGTTAATTCTAAGACTTAGAGTAAGATGCTGATTTGTTTTTGTACAGGAGAGAGATTACAGAGTGGTGAGAGAGAAGACCTTGCAGCCGTGGTCAATGCTAAAGCCGTGGCAGCTGCACAGAGACAGAATGATGACCATGATGACTATGACTCAGACTAGTCCATCCTACAAACACATTTGTTTCAACTTGACCATATTGAGCTCTATGCATAGTTCTCACTAGGTTATTTGAGCGTAGGGGCCCCCTACAATGTGATTTAGCCCCCTACACTCTTTCAACGAATGTAGGAGTGTTTTTTGTGGGGAGGGGGGGAGAACCTTCATAAAAATAAAACTATAACACAAGAATAAAGCTATAACAAAAGGAAAACATTAACTTAATAAGCATGAAATAGTGTCTCTGGGTGGTATTAATTTCACATTTTTCAGTGAGAATACCAGACCCCCTGCTGTGGTCATGTTTTGGGGACTCGATATGCGACCTGCTCTGCAGAAAGTTGTCCTTCTGTACCTGACCCCTACGCTGTGAAAAAATCCTGGTGAGAACACTGCAGTACATTTGTATGTCTGTTTCCAGTACCAGTTTTAGTATCAGCTTGCAGATATTGATATGAAGGTTTTATTCCTTTATCTGAGACTTCAAGAAAGACTGAAGTCAATTTAGAATACCTCACTTACTCATCACTAACTCTCTCATACTTAATATTATCCAGTTTATTGTCTTAAGTTAAATTTGCTTAAGATGGCAAACATAATGCCAAGGAAGCTGTTAGTGTTTAATTGGTTTAATCTCCAAGATTTCTGAAATTACTAGTACATTGGGGGATTTATTATAATGGTTTCATGTTTTGAACAGAAATGACAACACACATCAAGCTCTGTAGAATTTCCCAATGATTTTATTAATAAACTTAAATAGATGTTAATGCCTAGAAAAAAATGTTGTGCTTCTTGTCTCCAGACCGACCCAAGAAAAACCTGTGGACCCTATAGCCTTTTTTTCTGTAGACCCCTGCAAGGGACAGAATTTTTTAAGCTGATCGATCTTTTCTAGCTCCATGATCTGACACCTGAGTGATGAAACGTTGTACAATCAGTTTTCCAACATTGACATTGAAAATATAAGTGTCCTCATGCAAGTTTTACTTTGTTAAAATGTATAAGTTGAATCACAAGTTGTATCAGTAGAGAACCAAAGTTTAATAAAAAAAAGAAAGAAAAAAGATAATCTCTACCTCCCAACCCTAATTTTTTCAAGGCAGAAACAGAAAACAACATTTTTCTAAGGCCTAATGAAAAAAATTGGGGGGGGGGGGTTAGAGGCAAGCGTACGATTCTTTTCATGTGTTTACTGGGGTGCACATGTCACCGACTGTCCTGAGGAAGATGGTGGCACTTCAGTCCGTACTGGTTCCGACACGGGTTCCTTGTTCTGTCCTCGATCATGTCTATCAGCCGCAGACTTCCTCTGTTGTCTCGAGCAAAGATGGGACTGGCGATGTACTCACTCCCCAACCTCTTCTGCGCCGCCCGCGACGCAGGTGTCTGCCGATCGCGCGGTACAACAGCGCCCTCTGTCAACCCTTGCAGAAATGACAGGGCACTGCTCCCAATGTCTGTGGAACAGGTTTCATACATGTTAGGTACATGGAGTGAGCAAGAATGTATTATGGGATTTGAAATATACATTGTTATAAAAAGGTCACATGTTTACTCAGTTCTTTGTAACCATCAGAAACTATAACATTCATTATAATGTTGTGTAACATGAATGTTCCCATTTTATATTTGTTAAGATTAATAGGGTCAGATTGGGATCAGCAAAGCTTCCTAGCTGCAAAGGTTATTAAGTTCTTATCTTAAAATGTATTTGATCATTAGATGTACATCGAAGGCAGTATATCATACTAATACTTCAACATCTGGAAGGCACCAAAAGCGATTTCAGGGCAGCAAAACTTGATCTCAAAGTCAATATTCTGGTCATTTGTTAAAAATGTAGTTACTGTCAACCCTATCCTATGGCATACTGCTATCTGTAAGGCAGAAAACAGGGGAGTTGGCCCGCTAGAGAGTACAGTTTGTAGGCTTCGGGTACGGCAAACTGTACTCTCCAGTGGACCAACTCCCCTGGCATGTTATCTCTCTATTTCTACTCTTTCCAGACGCCTCCCGAAACCTGGTAGAGACTATTTCTAGGTATATGTAACAGAAAAAAGACTTGTACGGTTGTACCGATGACGAGTATGTCTTCAGACGTCGGGTAGGTGTCGATGACGTCATAGTTGCGCAGGCCCAGTCCGTCTTTAGGCCGGTGAATGTCCACCATGGTCTGCTCCACCACACGTCTCTTGTAACTCTCCCATTGGCTCTCCTGGAAAAACTTCTCACACAACGCCTTGTCTGGCGGCACCTGTCAGAACGTCATTTTTAATTTATTTTAATTAGATCATGGTTTTAGCCAATCACAGTCACTAGATGATAAACCAAACAACCATGAACCGAAGGGCAAATGTAACATCTAACTAGAAATGTAACATTTGCAAAGCAAATGCATAATGTTTCCCTTTTTAAATATACATAGTCTACCCTAACAAACTACTGCTCTGTTTATTCTAACTCTAACACATTCATAGTCATTCATGTTGACTGGCCCGTGCACCTCTAGATCTGTCCTGCTACAAAATGTAATCCAATACCACAGGGTGTCTGCTACAGCACCAGTTACCATGATGACAGACGTCTGGTTCACCTTTACTTGTTGGGGAAGAAGAGGAAGAAGAACCTGAACAAAGCAGTTTTTGGCGACGTCTCGGGGAGGAGCCTAATGGTACAGTATTGTGTGCAGTTTGCAAGAATTCTAGGAATGGTACAGGCATTTTGTCCACAGGAATGTCTCTGGCCCACATCTATGCCCACATTCCTGGAAACCCTTGGGAAGACCTCTCTGCCCTGGATGGCCCTACTTTCTGTGACCCTGGGGCTCGTTCACTATACACTCAGGGGAGGAGTGCACTGTATTAGTCTAGACATAACAGGTACCAAGGCTTCCTCAAAATAATGAAATGATGGCAGTGCCATGCAAACAATAACCCTAACAGCAACCATCGTCGCCATGGCAATGTGTGTTTTCATTGCCAGTCTTGTTTCTTTCTTCGAAGGTACGAAGGTACAAAGACGTATACAGTACGTACTTCCACCTTTTCCGCGTTGAGTCCGTCTAAGGCGGGTTGTCCCTCAGACACGGCCCGGAAGTCCCGCAGTGTGAGGTGCAGGATGCTGGCGCCCCGGCTCACCAGGCTCAGGTGCGGCGGGATGGGGGCCTTGGACACGTGCGCCAGGCCCTGCAGATGAAGAACAAGAGTTCCACGATTTCATTCCTTCGTCCATGATCTTAACTCTTCCGTCTGACGAATTATATACATTTTCCTCATTGATTTTGCAAATAAAAGCCGTATTTGCATGATGTATATCACTTGATCATATTCTTCACCTAATGAAAATTTTATCTTAACAAAAAAAGCTATTATAGCATTTCATAACAAATTATGCAAATGAAGTCCTGGTTTGAATAAATTATGTTTAACGATACCCACCTTTACTAACTTCCAATGATAAATTATGCAAATGAGGTCCTGATTTGAATAAAGTGTGTTTGATGATATCCACCTTCACTTAACTTCCACCTTCACTTAACTTCCACCTTCACTTATCTTCCATAACAGAAATCTACCCTCTTTACATTAATCTCGCCAGAGCGCATTGAAGCCGGAATCCACCAATGCAGGATCCACATATAGCCCCATCTGAACACTCCAAATCACATTGAAACCGGCTCGATCTCAAACCACCTAGGGAGGTCGTTTCGAACCGGCTTCAATGCATTCCGAAGGTCTACCTAGAGCTGTGGAGGAAAAAGATGGAGGAACCGGGGGGCTAATCTCCAAGCAGATCTTTCGGTGGCCGCAAAGACAGTATCAAATTGGCGAGGCAGTATCCACTGGCCAAACAGTATACTATCTTGAAAGAGCGAGGCCGTCATGGCCTTGCGGCAGAGCATTCGGCTCAGAACCAAGAGGCCCCGGGTTCGAATCCTGCCAAGTCACCAACCTTGGGAATGGCACTTTGCACTACTCTCCAAGCAGAGGTTTGGGTTTTGGGGGTATTTTTGGTGTGTTTTTAGGCTTTTTTTTATCGGGGTTTCTCTTTTGCACTGAATT